AATTGCCAAAAACCTAATAATAATAGCTAACATTTATCAATAATTGTCGTAAGCTCTTTATAACCTACACAAGTCCTCAAAAATAAGAACTATGGTTATTCCTATTTTTCAAGTTAAAAATTATGACCAGGAAGTTCAGTCATTTGTTCAAGGTAAGAGAGGCAGAGATTGGATTTGAACCCAGGCAGTCTGGCTCCAGATATCCACTCAGTCAAACAAAATGAGGTTTTGATAAAAATAAGTAAATGATTATTTGGTAAATTGGCAATTGTTAGTGAACAGACCCAGAGACATAGGATATCAAAAGCCACACAAAACTGGAAGAAGAAGAATCTGCCTTGATGAAGGCATTAGAGTAATAATCAACCTAAAACATAAGCACTCCAATAGGGATGAGCAGCAGAAAGAGGCTTGTGGTTCTAGCTCCTCAGAGGATAGTCACCCATCCCCTCCTATGCCCATAGTTCTCATTCCTGGGCATCTTCAAGAGCCACAACAGTCTAGGTCAATGCAGCAAACCCAGTGGTCACGAGGAAGTGATGGCATCTTGGGTCTTTCCTAACAGGTAGCTCCCAGCTAACCTGCGTTGGCCTAATTGGGGAAGCCCATGCCACAGCTCAGCATCCCTAGGGTACTGTGGTGTAATCCCTGTAGATGTACAATCCTGCAGGCTCAGACAGAACAAACACTTAGGAGCTTTCTAGCTCAAAGTCCATCTTGCTCCTAAAATCCAATGTAGTAAAATTAAGGTGCAGCTCAGAGTAATCTAAACTGTGTTCCACGGAACATCAGTGCCAAGAGATTATTTATGCGTCACACTTATAGAGGGTTCCATGCTCAGATAAGTTTAGGAAGTGATGGGTTGAATCCAGTTAAATTTCTTTAGTTCAGAATGATAAAGAGGCTTTAGTGTCCGTATGTTTGTGATTCATCTGTAAGAAAAGGATGAGGTATGCAACTTCTCCCAAAATAATTTGATTATGGATTTTTTTCAAGGAGAAAAATACAATTTAGGCAGTGTGTTAGGTTGTTCTTGCATTCCTATAAGGAAATACCTGAGACTGGGTAATTTATAAAGAAAAGAGGTTTGATTGGCTCACAGTTCTACAGGCTGTACAGGAGGCAAAGCAATAGCTTGGCTTCTGGGGAGGCCTCCGGGAGCTTTTACTCACAGTTGAAGGTAAAGCAGGAGTAGGTGCATCACATGGTGAGAGCAGGATCGAGAGAGAGAATGGGGGCGGGAGGGGGAGGTGCCACACACTTTTAAACCACCACATCTCACGAGAACCCACTCACTATCCTGAGGAGAGCACCAAGACTTAAGGGATCCACCCCTATGACCCACTTACCTCCTACCAGGCCCCACCTGCAACACTGGGGAATACAATTCCACATGAGATTTGGTGAGGACATACAGTATATTCAAACTATATCAAGCAATATTAATCTAGCCCTGGTATCAGAAAACTTGTAGAGTCCCAGAGCACCCTCTAGCAGGCTAGCACTGAGAGCCACAGAGACCAAGCTAGGGTGTCTCCTCCACTCCCAGCAACTGTCTCCCTACCCCCCTGTGCCCACCCTGCCATGGCACAGGGCAGCGCCACCCACTTGTTGGGAACTCTGCTGTTGGCAGCTGCCAGGATCTCACAGTGGAAACTCAGGCCATGAACTGCCCCACCTCCTCCTTATAGGTCCCCATTTGAGGACTTCAGGGCTCTTCAGAAGGAGAGATAGGCACTTTGGGATCTAGAAGTCATTGGGGCCAAGAATGAAACTAACCACAGGGGCCACTCCCAGCCCCAGCCCTACCTTTCTGGCCCACCAGATCCCTCCCCATCAGGTCTATCACTTAAGCCAAAAAATGTCTCCACCTGACGGCAACTAGGTGCAAGCATGCCCTGCACCCAGGACAGTCCACCTGGTCCCCAGGCAAATGAGGTGGGGCAGGGAGTAGGCTAAATAATGGCTACCGAAAGACCTCGGGTCCTAATTCCTGGAACCTGTTAATGTTACCTTATATGGGAAAAGTACTTTGCAGATGTCATTAAGAACCTTAAGATAGGGAGATTATCCTGGATGGGCCCTAAATGCAATCATAAGTGTCATTTAAAGAGAGAGACAGAGGGAGATTTTACACACAGAGAAGGAGATTTGAAGATGGAGGCAGAGATTGGATGAGGGGCTGTTGGCCAGAGAATGCTGGCAGCCACAGAAGCTTGTAAGAGGCAAGGGATCATCCTTCCCTAGGAACTCAGAAGGAAACACAACCCTGCCAGTACTTTGATATTGGCCCAGTGAAAATAATCTCGGACTTCGGGCCTCCAGAACTGTGAGAGAATGAATTTCTGTTGTTTTATACCAGTATGTTGCCCAGGCTGGCCTTTGAACTCCTGGGTTCCAGCGATCCTCCTGCCTAAGCCCCTGGAGCAGCTGGGACTACAGATGCATGCCAGCACATCCAGTGTGAATAGTATTATTTTTGTGTCAATTTTTTAATTACTTTTTGTTTTCTAAAATAATTTTATTTATAAAATCAACACTTTCTCATCACTAAATTCACTCCTAATCCAATTATACTAAAACATCTACTATTAATGTGTTGTATAAGTTCTTTCAGGTCTCTTTTTTTCAATAGATGTGTGTGGGTTTTTGTATAACTTAAATCGTTATAGCTATTATAATTACATTATATATAATTATATTATGATATAAAGTGGTTTTAATTCCATATTGTGTTATAGTCTTCATAAGATGTCAGGTTTAAAAAATCATAAAGTCTGCATAATGGAATCATTGAGTGGTTGTACTATAATTTCCTTAAGTAACCTGATTTCAACTCCTCTGTAACAGAAATATTAGATTGGAATGTTATTCCCTTATTATGGTTTGCTACTAACATGGGGATTACAAAATTCCGCCGAGCTCCAGGAGTTTCTCAATCATATCTTAATACAACCCAATCTCATATCACAGCATTTCACAGAGCCTTCATGAATTTTCTACTTACAGTATATCAATTTCATGTTAAATATTGCCTGATTTCCACCTTAGGTGCAAAAAAAAAAAGTTTAGCATAAGTGGATTTAAAACTGTAGTAAAAAATAAATGTCCTATACACCTAGAAAAGATATAAAAACTCATTCAGTTAAGAATAGTCTCCAAAGTAACCAAGATCCTAAAAGAAATAAGGCTAGAAGCAAAAGACACTAGACTAAAGATACACCTAACCTAAGTTTCCCCTGTTTACTTGATCAGCTTTCAGTGTGGTAAAAAAGAGGGCCAAATGAGAGTCAACCCAAACATGGGTTCTAGTCCCATCTCCAACCTGAGTCCTTACCCTCAGTTTACCCATATATATAATTCATCGACATTTTAAGTTCCTTTGAACACTTACTTGAGTGTACCATGAAAACAATGGTGTATCTTCAAACAGCCTTTTCATATCCAAAGGGAAGAGGAAAACGTTGTCTATTTCTGATAGCAGGGAAAAAGCTGGGTATGTGGAGTTTGAGGGCATCGGTGTGGAATCAGTGAGACCCTTCATAAAAAATGCCACAGGCCGCTCAGGATAAATCTTGGCAGCAGACTCTACAGCACAGGAGACCAAGTGGGGCGGCTCCATTCTCTCTGAGGTCTCTAGAAACACAATGCCACGTCTGTGGCTCAGGAGGGCTTCTGGCCCCTGCTGGGACTTGAAAGAAGGCGAGCAGAAGAGGCAGCTGGACTTCAGGGTGAACTGGTAGAGGAAGCCACAGGCAAGCAGCAGGATGACTGACAGGGAGAGCTGGAGCTCCTTCAGCATGTCCACTTCTCTGTGCCAGCCTGCTCTTTTAAATTAACACAGTTAATTAAAAATCACAGTTGCAAAACCTGATAAAGATAGCACATGAGAAAATGATACATGAATATTATTTTAAAACTTAAATTTTAAAAATCCTAAATAAAATATGACAAAATCAAGCCCAGAAATATTAAAAAGAAAAATGCATCCAGGCATGGTGGCACATGCCTGTAGTCCCCACTACTAGGGAGGCTGAGGCAGAAGGATCCCTTGAGTCCAAGGGTTCAATACTAGTTTGGGCATCATAGTGAAAATTGTGACAAGAAATTAAAAAAAGAAATGTGTGAGAAAGAAAAATGCATCATAGCCAATTAGGATTTATCTTAGATTTTAAAATGATTTGACATTAAAAATAATTAGTTAATAGAGAAAACTATTGATTAAATGCATTATTTTAACAGACTAAAGAAGAAAAGCCATATAATTATTTTGGCCCAGGAGATGCCAAGAATGTGACTAACGTTTTAACATCTATTTACAATTTTTTAAAGTACAAGGAAACTTTCTTAAGCTGATTTTAAACAATGTCTACCAGAACATATAGCAATTATCATACTCCATATGAAACATTTGAAACATCCCATTAAAGTCAGAAATATGATAGAAATGTCCATTGTCATTGTTACTGAAATCATCTAATAATTGTAATGCAATGAAACAAGAGAAAGGGATTTCTACTGTGAATATTAAAAGAGGCAAAAGTATCTCTAGTTTCAGAAAACATAATGGAAAAACTAATAGAACTAAGAAAAACATTAACCAAGGAAGCAAACTGAAGGCTAAAGAGTTAAGTAATTGCCAAAATGACACAATTAGCAAGTAGCAGAGCTGTGACTATAACTTTCCTCCACCTGCCACCGACGTCCAGGCTCTGAACCGTTACCTGCAGTGCTTCCATCACCACAAATGTTAGATCTAACCCCGGAGAACACAGATCTCAATTCTTGGCAGGTCTATTTTTTCAAATTATATGTAACTCTTTTAGAAAATACAAAACAGTGAATCAGAGCTTACCTTCTAGCTGGAAACTTGCAGTTAACCAGTATTTGAGGTCTTAGAAATGACAAGTTTTTCCTGCACACTTTCTGAGAAATCACCACCTTATCTTCCAATTCAACAACACAGGGGTAAGTAAATCATTGGCAGATTGAGACTAAACACAAGAAGTTCCCAGGAAGCTCCTCCCTTTACTAAGTTTCCCCAAACACAGATATTGGGAACAAGAGGGAGTTCACCAGATTTTTAAGGTGACCCACACACTAATCCTGCTTGTTTGTAGATCTATTATGGGGATTATAAAGGAATTATTTCACCTAGAGAAAACTATATCCTGGCATAATCCTGTAGCCAACATATCCTGCACTTGATCAGTTTAGCTTGAATCAAAATGATGCTCAGAGACCCTGTACGGTGATACAAACTCCCCTTTGCAAGCACAAAGTTTGATTAAAAGAAAAGAAACCCCATCACCACAAATAAGCAATGAACAAACCCCTGCAGTCCAAAGCCCCAGTGATCTAGAATGAGAAGTAGTTCCCCACTGTCAGTCACAGTGGCTGCAGGAAGGTTTCTTTTTCCCCAGTGTTCCCCTTGGGGGTATGAGCCTCCTCCCAGTCTCAGGAAGCCAGCTTCGTTGCCCTCCACTGATGGGGCAATTCCCACATTTCCCATGGTATTAGCACTCACCTGTGGTCTATTCCCCACTGCCCCTGAAATGAGCTCTTAGTAATCTTCTTTGGAGCCATTCTCTGCTCATTCACCTGTCTGGGCCATGAGCAGCTATCCACAGTTCCCCCTGGATGCTCTAGTGTGAGCAGGTAGGACAGCTTCTGAGCAGACTTTGGATTCTAACATAGCAGGTCCTACAGGAAGGGAGTTAAAGCTGTCGCACTCATTGATGGCTTCTGGTTTTCTGTGTGTCCAAGGACCCCAGAAACAGCTTGTAGGTCTTCACAAAACTCTTCCTTTTGGAGCTGAATTTCTTCTCTGCACCTCACAATTGTGGGCTCAGAGTGCCTTGGCATCTTCCTAAAGTGCTCTGTAATTGGACAGATTGGTTGTTCTTTCTTATGAAGGGGAGTGGAGATTAGTGCTCCTCCTTGCTCAGGGGTAACTAGAGGACTCCATTTGTGGGAGTGATAACGCATTCCTGAGTCTCAGGTGGGTCACATATCTCGGTGCCTAACAACTGTTAGCCCAATGGCTAAAACTATTGAACAAGTGGTCAAGGCAGAGATCAGTGATGTAGTTAATGGTCTTTGTCAGGGGAGGATGGGTGTGAGCATCAGCAATGCAGTGAAATCCCAAGCACAAAAGTAGGACCTGTCTGACCAAGAACCAAGTAGAAAGTATGGTGGAAGCAGCACTGAGCTTGGAGTTATGCCTTCAACCACCCCAAGCTGAGAGCACTAGACAAGCCCCTAAACTGCCCAGAGCTTCAACTCCCTTGAAAAGTGCAGAAAATGACTAACCTCAGGCTCATTGTGAGAATGAAAGAGTTTTGTAAACCAAAGAAACAATTGTTACTTTCTACCAAGGAAAATAGAAGAGAAAAATAGAATTTTATCAATATGGATAGTATTTATACTACCTGATGACAAACATTATTTTGTTTTGTTCAGATGGGTAAAATCTATTCCCTATTCTAATCTTTTTTTTTTTTTTTTTTTTTTTTTTTTTTT